TTGGAAATGGGAATGGTGCGCGAGAAATTCCTTGCTTTGAAATCTGGACAAAACCAAATTCTACCTCGTTACCATGCTGAGAGATCCCCTGAGATAGCAAGCGCATGCGTCGAACAGTACATTTTACCTGACTGTTTGTTCATAAATACTCTTCACGAAACAACATGAATTCAGAGAAGCCGGATGAGGGGAACGATCGGAACATCTCCGAAGCTTCTACAACAGCTCCGAACAACCGGTTAGCTGACTGGACCACCGAGCTCTGCAAAGAGAAAGAAACCGCAGTTTCAGCACAAGCACGTGTGGCGGGAAATTGCGCTCGTTTGACTCAAAAGCCAGAGCCTAAGGGGACCAAAGATCCCTCTTCTTCCCAGAGAAGGGAAGCAGGTCAATCTGTAAAACCCTCCAAGAAGGGAGATGGTGGAAAAACAACCACAGGCACTCCCACGAGAGATGTGCGTTAAAAACTGCCAAGGAAGGAAAGCGCGCCAAAAGATGGCAGCGAGCGGCAAAGCACATCAGCACGATTACCCTTCCTGAAAAGGATGTAGGGTCAACCCAAATGGTTGCTAACATTGCAGAAATTTTATAAGATTCCTTCTCCAGCTTATCGCAGAGTATGAACAAAGGATTTGACAACTTGGGACAAATGTTTCAAGGCAGTCACTCTGCTGACGTGTCACAAGGAAGTTGTTTTTCAGACGACCTCAGCTCTGCAGACTCAGATGTGTCGGAAGTTGAGGAACCAGTGGCAAAGAGACCGAATAGCGATGAAGCAGGTCAAAGCACTGAGAATGAGAACATCCTAGGTCAACTTGAAAAGACTTTGACTCAGCAGAACATAAAGGAGCGAAAATCAACAGTAATTTAGCTGCCATTGTCTTGAAATTATTGAAGGACAAAACTGAGGAAGACAAGCTCATGGAAATAAAGAAACGCTATCCGGCGCCCAAAAATTGTGAGATTAGCCAAAACACGAGTTAACCTGCCAATATGGAATAACCTATCAGAGAAGGCACATTCAGCTGACAAAGTTTCAGAAAGTGCAAACATCCCTTGTAAAGGGAACTATAGCAGTAGTATCAGTTGTAAAAAACTTAATCACTGCTCAGGGGATGCCCTCAAAAAACGAAGTTGTAAAGAACCTCATGCATGGAGTGCTTTAGTTCGCCAATGGTAACATGGAACTAAACGTTTGTCGAAGGGAAGCGCTTCGACCGGAACTCCATGCCAGCTATAGATACCTTTGTGCAACTTCAAATCCAATTTCCTCATAATTACTCAGGGACGATTTGCCGAAAGCAGTTTATATCCGACACCAACAGATTTACCTCGAAACTCCACCAAGAAAAGAAAGAGAGTTATTAGAAAGGGTAGGCAATCTGAACGCCCTGACAGATTTCAGAGTAGAAGGAACTACACTGGGGCAAAAAACTACCTTCGCCCCTCCCAATACAAGGGGAAGGGGAACAGGGAAGTTCACAAGTCTCAGCCTTGAATGCCTAAAGCACGCAACACCCAAATTCAGAGGTGAGCGCTACACATATTGTCTGTATCAAAGTGGCTGGCAGGCTCAAATATTTTCTGTCTGAATGGAAATCAATAACAACAGACCCTAAGATCCTTGACATGGTGCAGCACTGTCACCTGGAGTTTATTGAGCTACTGCATCAGCATTATAATTTACCTCCTATTAGATTCAATACAAGAAAGGCTAAAAAAATTGACAATGAGATAAAGACCCTTAGAAAGAGGTTATTGAGGAAGCTCAGCCCTCCCAACATCAAGTTACCTCGAGTATCTTTCTAAGAAAAAAGAAGAATGGCTCTTAAAGGATGATCCTTAATCTTAAAAGATAAAATGAGTTTATTGAATATAACCATTTCAAAATGGAGAGCTTAGCTCTCGCTGTGCAATTAGTGAGTAAAAATTGTTACATGGCCTCCATCAATTTGACTGGATAAGGACGAACAAACCGTAGGCCCCGTCTCCCACAGGGTTAGGGGTAGGAGACGTAAATTTCCCACCCACGAGATTACTATGCGGTGGATGTCCTCCCCTGGGGTGGAAGGGTGGGTATACTCACCCGGTTCACTCAGAGGAAATGGGCTCACCCCAAAGAAAGAAATTTCCCTTGCTGGGCTCAGCCCACTTCAAAATACATTCTTTGCATTCTCGTTGTGAAAAATTCCCAGATTTCATTTCGGTCGTTCTATCAACAAGAGCTATTCCTCCTATGTTTTATCCAGCGTGTGTTTTATTGATGGTGGCTTTTTTAATAGTAGCCTTTTAGTCGGTGTTTTATGTGGTATACCAGTTCGTATGGACCGTATAATTTACATAATTTCAAATGAGCAGAAAGTGGCTTATGTCGTTTTCTTTCGACGCTACTTTTGTGGACAAAAGTGGAAAGAAATCATGGAAAACTTTTTCGCTGACGGCGGAATCCACGCTTTGTACCCCACGAACCGGTTGAGTTGAAAATGAACAACCTGAGATCGTCAAACCTTTCCCTTTCGAGGAGTTTAGTGAGAGCTGTTCTGGTCTATCTTTGTATGAGAAAAGACATCTCGCCAACATCCAGAAATGGGACAGCATAACAAGACAGTTGTTTGATTCTTATGTGGAGAAATGCTGTTTTCCGACTGACACAACATGTGTTTACTGCCTCCAAGAACCAGCAAGACTGCGATGTCAATATTGTGGCCCCAAGCAGTACTTCTGCCTTGAATGTGCTAATATTTTACACAGCGTGAGGAACCATTTTCATGTGTCGGAAAAATGGAACGCGAGTTTCGAAATGTAATAAGTGCATTGAGTTTGTTGGTTCTCTACTCTGCTCCGAGAGGTTTTCTCCGGGTACTCCAGTTTTCCCCTCTCCTCAAAAACAATCATCATTAGAATTTATTTAATTTAGAGTCTATTTCCATTTACACACGACCCCACAAGCTGTTCAGCTTTAAACATTATCATGTCTAAATAAAGGTGTTATTATAGTAAAACGAACTGGATGATCTTTTTCTGGGTTATTTCCTAAAGGAGTGAGTCATAGCCCGTGACGAGGGGTCCTTTAGGATTTTCTCTTCACTCTAGGGCCCCGTCCACACGAGGACGATTGTAAACGCAAACGCTAGTAAATGCAAACTTTTTTATGCGTTTAGGCCTTCGGTCCACAGGAAGACGATGAAAACGCTCACCATAAACGCATAATTTCGAAAACGCTCTCCACAGTGGATAAATTTGAAAACGCCATTTATGCGTCTTCGTGTGGACGGCCGTAAACGTATATTTTCGTAAACGCTGTGAAACGCTGACGTCAGATATCAGCGCCAGTCTCTTTTATCGAGTGCGTTTCCAACATGGCGTACACACGAGTGTTGAGCTGTGTCATGCTTGCGCTTATTTCAGTCCAAACAAAGTTGTCTGCCTTAGTTTTATCACTTTTTTCTTTCGGTTTCTTGCCAGCAGACTTCGACATTTTTCTTCTCTCTCGATCATAACAAACGCACGTGGGAACTTTACAACAGGGACGCTAACACTTGATAACAAGGCGCTGAAGCAAAGATTGCAGGCTAGAATCGATAGAGCATGCGCGTTCGGTGTATGACATTGTTTTATGCGTTTACGAGCGTTTTCGTGTGGACGGGTGAAAACGCTACGTAAACGATGATCGTTTTCGTGTGGACTGAGATAAAAATATGCGTTTACTAGCGTTTGCGTTTACAATCGCCTTCGTGTGGACGGGGCCTTAGAGCAGCGTAAAATATGCGAAACGTGTTGCATAAATGGATCACGTAAAAAATATTTCAGATATTAAAATTTTCTGTCACACTTTCGTTTGTCATTATCCCTGGAATGTTTTGGCGAGATTTCAGGAAAATCGGTCAAATCTACATAACCTATGAATTCGCTCGAAGTGTATTTATTCCTCTCAAAACCAAATGCAAGACTTTAGTTCCTAAAGGTTTGTCAACAAATAGCGCCAAACCAAGAGATTATCTCCTGAAACAGCGAACCAATGGGAAGACGGGACCTCCTGGCATCAATGACAATCGGATCGAAATTTTCCCAGGAAAAGTACTGCATAGCAGTCACGTTTATTTTTATCTCGTTCTGTTGAACAGTGAGTAATGGGAAAAATTGGCGAAGGAAAACCCGCGGCAAAAAAAAGTGAAGTTGGGGAAACTGCTGAAAGCAAATCAGCAAATCGACAGACAGCTTAACTTATACCGTTATCGCTGAAATGAGTTTCCTTGGGTAGGTTTATTCATGATTTCATACGATTCGAGGCAATTGCCTTTGTTTGGTATCAAGACCGGTACTTGCAATAATTTCCTTGAAGCAAAAA